ATCAGCGACCTTCGGGAGTCTTCGCAGTTTCCGGACTTGCCGGCTCTGCCCCGCGGCTGCCCTCTGTCGCATCTCGTTTGGTGCCCTCTGTTGCATCCTCAGCGAACAAATATGTGCACGTCTTGTCCTCGCTTCCGGAGCGTGGACCACTCATCTCCTCACGGACTCGGGCCAAGACTACCATATTATTCCATTTTTTTTTAAGTCGCACAAGAAATTTTTCGGGGGATGGGGGCACGAAGTGACCATTCCCCCACCAAACCCTACACTAAGTTGTATATCCTATGCCGACATGTGAAAAGGGCACAGTGCCTGGTAAGAGGGGTTATTGTGCAATTGCGTCCCCCCTTTAGCCGTGTGCGCGCGTGCGCTCTCGAGGTGTCCGAACGCTATACGGCTTACCACACGCATATATACAGACGATGAAGGGAGAGCATGGTCAGCGCACCCTCAGGGGGTGCCATTGGCCTAGCCCAGGCTGTTGTTGTGGCTTAATACTACGGCCAAACATGATAAGACGTAGACTCGGAGTTCTTCGAAAGTGGGTAGAGGGCATCGAGGATGGCGGAGGGGGGTAGCGGTCGGAGTATTGGGGGCGGACAAGACAAGGGGGAGGGCGTGAAGAGGAGGACGCGGAGGAGAAGGAAGAGGAGCCGGGCGTACGATCGAGGGGGTGTAAACACACCCCGAAACGACGGTTTCGTTTGGGCAGTTTTGCGTGTGAGAATGCCGGGGGAAAGTGGTTGGCGGAATGGTGGGCGTTAGCTAGAACGGGACGGTCTCAGCAACTGCGAGTTCCCACATGACATGTATGTATCAGTTCTGTGGTTTCCGTCGAGCATTTATAGGGGCTCTTCGTTCACGCGCGTAGAGGCGGGATGCTACTGCGAGCTTGTTATTTCACTAGAATTTGATTGGAGAACATAATACTGATGTGGATATCATGGTCAACCGGTGTCTTGTTGTTTACCTATTTTGTCGTTGGTCGCTTTAGCGACACTTGGGTGTCTCCTTCGTCCTGTTCCGTTTCATTGGTCACCGTGCCGCATTGGAGGAAATGCTCCACGTGGAGTACCTCGTATAAGTGCGAGGAAAACGACGCAATGCCCAGGCTGCATGTGTATATTTCTCGTAACGCTCCCGGTGGACGACTGTGCATGACGGTTCAAGGCATGGCCTGCATCATGCGTGGGATTGTTTCCGCGTTTATGCCGGGGGGGCTGTTGAGAAGCACGATGATCACTAGACTAGTCAGTAGTCTAGTGGTCATCGTGCTTCTTGACAACAGTTATTGCCCGTGTCCTGTCTGGCTTTCCAGCCACGAACACGTCCCCCCAGGGTTGCCATCCCTGTGATCAGCGCTGCCTTGCCCGGAAATTGCATGGGTACAAGAGGTTCATCGCCCTACTATCTGAAGTCTCATAGATTCTTTGTCCTCATACATCGGGCGCAAAGAAATTTATGCTCAAGGGGAGATTCGAACCCCGGACATTGCTTTTATAACAGAAACTCTTGGCAAACCACAGGATCTAGGACTTTCAACGATGCTCACAAAAACAAGTAATTACATTCGTGGTACATGCGTTTTCTGTTGGCAATACTCAAATGAAACACCCGTTCTCACTCCGGCCGCCTCAACGGTCGTATTGCCTCCGTCGACACCCCACATCTACCGTCGAGCGCCCGGCCGCGTTGACCGATATGCCATAGACTAATAGATGTAGACTTCTACACCTACAACCATATGCACAGCTGTGGGACGCTTCAGAACAGTTTCTTGGCTGAGGCCCTGAACGACAAATTCAGCTTGGAGAGCTTCCCTCCTTTCGCTGCCGCGGCACCGCGAGCGAGCCCACCACCAACATCCCCACGTTCGTCCGCTTTTTCACTCCCAAAATGCGGGGTGACTACTGCGTGCGCAGTGTTCGCTTCCCCCCCAGCGAGTAAGAACGCCGCTTCGGCTTCCTTTTGACGTAGCATCCTCTGCTCTGTTTTCCATTCCTTTGAGCCATAAGCAACCTAGCCCGGCGAACGTCGAAGCGACACACTAGCGGCTGAGGAAGGGTTCGGTTCGAACAATACCGTCACGTCAACGTCAACAACAACATCGACAACAACAATACAAATCAGCGACCATATCGGTGAGGACAGCCTTGCAGGTAGAGCACACCTGTCCCCGTTTTTTCTCGAGCGCGGTCTGTTTTCGGGTCTTCTCAGCATCCAGCAGCAACCGATTTCTTTCCGCCACTTCCGCGCTATCATCGTCGTTATTGACAAGCTGCTGCTGCGCCACTCTGTGCTCCATCAGTCCGCACAAGACCTTTTGTATGGGATCGTTCTCTGGGACGATTCGAAGAGCGTTAGTTCCATACGGCGAGCAAGAATGAGTGGTTTCTACGAGATCGCCTTTGGGCCAGTGGAAGGTCGCCTTGCCTTCGCAGTTCGAGAAACTAACCAAAAAGGAGGAAGCATGCTTGCTAGACATCTGAGACCGTGGGTCAGACGCGGCCAGTTATTGAAACAACTCCCCGTTGACATGCGCTCGGTCGGAAAATCTGACACGTTTCGCCATCCCGATTCAACCTTAAAGAGATATGACGATTCCGTGTACGTCATTGCACTTGAGGTTGAGGCTTACAATCACGTTGATTGTGAGTGGGTGTGAACTGGGGCAACTAACGACCCGATCCTATTCTTCAACGGGGACTAAATTCTCGCAACGCATCGATTTTGTGTGCATGCCGGTTCAGCGTGAAATCGTCCCAGAGCTGGCTACCCACCACCTTGGAAGGGACCCGTTGAAGCATCCGCAAGCCTTGGACCTTCTTCATTGCTATAAACCAAATGCACTCAGCCCTAGTACGGTATTTCCTGTATCAGCAATAGAATGCAGCTCTCCAGAACTATCCTTCATGTACAGACTGTAGTCTAAATCGTCTGCAAATCGTAGAGCGCTTGATTCACGGGGTCCCTACTTACCTGGATGCTCCGGACACCCGACAAGGTGATCGAAAACCTCCAGGACGGCCTGCTTTCCAAGTCCAGTCTCGTACACCAGGTATCGCTCGATATTCTCCCTTGTCTGTTCTTTGACGGTTCGTCCCATGAACCCAAGGCCAGGATGATGTAGAGTCATAGCGTACAACATGAACACTCAGAATCCTTTTTTGCTATGCCTATCAAGTGTTGGGAGATCGAATGTCATGTTGTTCCGGGCACGTAAAAGGATACACCCATCCTTTTCCCGTTCGTTTTCCTTGGAATCAAGATCAATATTCCCTGAAACACAAATGGAAAATAGCACCAGAATAAGAATAAACACGTTTTGTGGGAAAGAAAGCTGCTGTATAGGACAGCAGAAGAGCGGCAATTATGATCCTCTTCTTGAAATTTATTGGAAGTCCAGTGTTTCACTATATGAACGGGGCGGGAGATCGTCCCATGTTCATGCTCAAAAGCCGCTATCACGTCTGGAAAACTTCGTGCTGGGGCATGCCATCGGCTCTGTCAAAAGCCGCTTTCAAGAGCAAGCGACTGGCTCCAGTCTCTACTCCAAGCGCCACGTGTTGTCGAGATACTTGCGGGTATCAAGCGCTATCACCTTGATCTTGCTCAAGAAGGTCGTGCACAGCACTGTTACCGTCGACTTGGGCGTAGTCAAGTTGTACCTGAACAAGGAAAAGCGCAACGACGAACAGAGCAGCAAGCAAATAGCGACGACGGTAGCCGCGGGGGCTGCAGTGGGACAAGGTGAAGCACGAAATAACAGTAGCGAATAGTTTAGAAACGACTGAATCCTTCGCGTGATGGGGAGTGCGGCATGTACACCGTCGCAGAAGGGAGGTGCAGAGAGAACGGAAATCAAACCCCTGCGTGGCCGTCCGCTGCCATAACCCCGGCTGGTGCGTCAAAATACATTCCGAGAACATGTGGAACATTTGGAACGTCTGGAAAACCTGGGATGACACACGATACCTACAAGGCTGAACACTTTTGTGGTCGATCTACCGGTCAGCGCGTCCGAAGATTGTCAAAGAACCACACACGCAACGTGGATTATCGTCGCCATTTCTCACGTGGACAGCGGGAGGTTTCCCGTGTGCACCCCAAGGGTGGTGTCCGTCTCGGGGAGGTTGCGGTTGTCGAGGTTCCACAGACCCGGTATCGTCGGAAGGCACATGAAGGCGTCGATCCTATTACAATAACAACAGGTAGAATTGACGTCACGTATCCATGCCTTGTGCGCAAACGATGCAATGGATACTTTTGAGGAAAGATAGGGCATACTGACATTGAGAGGTCCATGACAACATCACAGCGTTCACGTGAGAATGAGAGCCATCTCGGCTTTGACGTGGAGGCTTCTCCGGACATGTTTTGCTGATTGCAAAGAAATTAGGGTCCGCGTTTTACATTGTGGAGTTGTTTCGTCCCTTGAAAGCGAAGGGGAGAGGGAGACAAGATTGTGGTATGATAACCTGTCGCATACATAACAATGTGCACACGAGGTGCCATGACCGCAGAGGAATACGATGTCGACTGGAAATCTATCAGGAGGCAATATTTCCCAAGAACCATGACGACAGTGGTAGAGACAAGCCACAACAAAGTGAGCTCCTCTTTGGTTGTTTGTAGACAGCAACACGTACCCACCCATAAATACGCACGTGCATCCCTCGGCGGCGTTGGCTCTCCAGAGGTCGAAGAGATATGACACTGGCCAAGAAGAATCCATCCAAAGACAGGTCGCCGTGCCGCAAGGAATAACCTATCCGCGCGAGCGTAACATTGACCAAACGTGTCAAGGACCGCGTTGCCTGCTACAAGAATATGGGTTTGTTGCTCAGGCGGGAATTTGGATTTCGCGTATAGTTTCTGCTTTGCGTCGTTCTGAGTTAGGTGGTGCGGAGCATAAACGCTCCTTCCATTGCCTTTGAAGCGTGGGGAAGAGGAAGCCCTACAAATGCGGCAATGAACCGGTTCTCAATATCAAGACAGCTAGAACCCACAGCAGACTTCAAAGGGATGTGTGCATCCAGCGGAATTTCTTCTCCATCACAACATGTGACCTTGAGCGTTCGAACAGGCCCTGCAAGCTCAAGTATGACGCGCTGCTATACCAGCAGACATCTCACTACCAATTTTTGGTTGGTAGAAACAAATCACGTTAAGGGCTCACATCCGGCGACAGGTCACGAAACCCACCACGTCAGTCACAACCCAAGCATCCCCTGTTGCTAACGGAACGCGACAAGCTCAAGTTTCTTTTGCTCGAAGAGATTGCACCTTGCACCAACATACTCCGCAACGCTTCATCTCGGCAAAGGGGAGAGTGCTTCAGTGCAACGATCGATGTTGTTTCGGAAAAGGCCTCGAAGAGCATTGCAATCTAGGGATTGTATGCCCACGTAGTGTGCACTCCAGAGTCCAAAGAGTGCTGATAGCCGCATGTATTGGATCGTAGAGGGAACTTCAGAGAGAAGGGGAAGAGTAGGAGAAAGGAGGAGAAAGGAGGAGAAAGGAGAAGCGCCAGCAGGCCAACACCAGTCGAACGGGGGCCCGCAACTCGTATCCCAAAGTCTCTCCCAGCATGCCCCTCAATGTCAATCCCATGTGCGATATACGAAACCGCCAGTATCGGTACATTCCGACCAATCTACCTCCACGCACGAACATCTAGAAGCATCCTTTTCCCGACGTCGGCTCCCTCCCTCGTGTAACGGCCACGGGCGCATATAATTCAAACACTTTTCACTGTCTCCATCGCTTGATACTATTCTGTTCTTGCGCTTGTGGAATCTGGAATGAAGTCTTTTGGTGATAAGATTCTCGGTCCAACCACTGGAAGAACGTTGTTGGCCCTTGCGCCGTTCACGGTTTTGTGCGAGGTATCAGCGGCGCACTCGACACAGGGCCCCGTGGTAAAACATGCAGGAAGGAAATCGCAGGCCCGTTGTATGTATGCAGTACCGAATAATGATTCACTGATCCTCTTGGAGGTCGAAGTTGGCAAACCCACACCGGGGCCACCTCTTACCTTCACAAAGATGCGGATGGTACTTCCGACAATGCTCCGGTACAGGGTGATGGCCGCACTCGTCGTGAGGTCCGTATGCAGCTCTGGCTTTTCCTTCTCTTCGCTATCGGCGCCTTCACCCTGAAATGAGGGAAGTTTGTGTCTTTCAGGTGCGGCGTCCGATCCTAAGGGTTGTGTAAGAGTCTCCAATTCTTGGTTCTGAATGCAGCATAGACGACGTCTGACCAATAACCCCCTAGCCGGTTGCCCCTCGTTTCAACAGCCAGCCTGGTCAAGATCTGCCGCTTTCGATGACAGTCCTCGGAGTATAGGTATGCCACTTCTCGGGTGACTACGGTCATTGCTCCGTTGCCCGTGGTGACTGTTCGAAAATTTCTTTTTTTCCTGAACTCGAACCGCATCTAGCACCACCGTCGCAGGTCCTAGAACGGGCTTACTAGGAGGGGAGTTGGCGACAGCTCGCGCGCTGTGTACAGAGCCGCAGCAGAAGGTTGTGCCAGTCACCTATCCGTCTCAACTGTGTGTCTCCCGAAACCATGCTAAGCGCGGCGACGCTTCGACGAATCGAGTCAAAGCTGCCCTCCCTCTCCGTTCAACAAGCTGACAATGCACCTTGTCGGTGGTGATGACCCCGTGCATCCCCTTCATCAACAACGAGACGCGTCTGCCAGGAGGGCTCCCTGACGCCGCCGCCCCAGTCTCTACCCTGTCTGCCGCCGCTGCGGCTGCCGGTGTTCTGGGAGTGGAGCCTGTCTTGTCCCCTACCGGAGGCAAGGACGAGACAGAACCTCTTCCGTCGACCGTAGACCTGCCCATCATGGATTGGTCGTCGGGAGATTCGAACAAAACACCAGACCAGGGAGTTGCTACTCCCGTTTCGTTTCTAGCGCGAATCAATTTATTATTGATATTGCGTCCCCAACACTGGAAGCTACAAATACGTAAAGTAACCACAAAACACACCACAAAACACACCAAACCTGTAATTAATTGCCCTTCCACGTCTCGCAAAACGGAATCAACAGGCATCGAACGGAGTGCTGCTGACAATAACCGTTGCTGCCCTGAATGCGAAGATGCCATTCGACTCCGAGAAGCACTTAAGAGAAGCCCCAGTTTCTGATATACCTTTCGCGTTGTTTGTGACGGCTTTATACCTGGAGCTGCGCCGCGAGGTGGGCCTGGAGGCAGAGCTGTCCTCGAAAGGACCCAGGTAGGCAAAGTCGTGTGGAACGTACCCCTCGGGGAAATCCCAGCAGCAGGGGCACCCTGAGGGCAGGTGGTTGTGGTACGATACGGGGATCACGTTTCCATAAGTTCGTTCTTGTCAGGGATAGACGCGGTCCATTGGCCAATGGTCACGGGTCCCTTGTGGGATGGAGTAGCGCTGTTCCAGCAAATGTTGCAGTCATCTCGAACGCTTTAGTTGTCGTTGCTCGTCATACGATCATTATCCTCATTGTCGGCACCGTTTCAGGCTCGAATTAGAGGGTGGCTGGGGAGCGAGGGGGTGGCTGGTGTGCCACTGCTGTGAAGCGCCGTTGCCAAGGCGAAAAGTCGTACGACGCCACACCGCCAGCACCCACACCTGGTTTCCCAACAAGGCACACGGGGCAAGACTTCCCCCTTCGGTGGAGCACAAAATCTTCTCTCTTGGGCTTCTCGTGGTCCTCCAAGGCCCCGCCTTTTGACCTCGGTTTCTTCACCAAGTCGTACCCGAAAAACACCGGACTCTGGTGCCGACTGTCTTGGTCGTCGGGTATGGTCATCAGCCTGTACCAGAAAATGTTTCCGTGAAGGGCGCGTTGGGGATTCGCTTCGGGCTCGCGTATCGACACAAAAAATCAAGCTCACAACGTCGGAAGGAACGGTGGGGACGGCTGCCAGCTTGCAGAGAGCGATCAAGGGGTCTGCAATGCTCAAGTCCAATCGAAAGATAGTACGATTCACTCTGCCGTACGCCGAGGCGCTGTGCACGACCCGGTAAGTTGATCGAGTTTGGCGAAGAGGAAATTCGATCCAGGGATGATGGTGGGAGGACGATAAATGGCGGCCTCTAATGTGAAACCAGATGAGCACCGTAGGAGATCGTGATTCAGACCCGCCCCCGATCCACCTGTTTACGTCAACTGCTCGGCTTTTCAAAAATTGAGCAACGCGAGGGTAAGGCGCCAGACAATACTGCAAACCGAGCGAAATCCAATGGAACGTTTCAAGTCTTCCAGCAATCCTCCTCAGCCCGATACAACGCAAGAATCCCATTCTATATTTTGGCTGCTTAAGCTGAACGAACACATTGAAAATATTTCCCCGGAGTGCGTGCCGCTCAGGACGGGGTCTCTGTTGTCCGAAAGGACGGAAAGCATTGTGGCCATATTCACTACTTTGAACGATACTCCTACTGCACGTCTCTGAGAGTGCAAACGCGGCCCCAACTCCGGCATCACACCACCCTCACCCGAAGCACGACGGGTGGACCAAGCCCGCGCTGTCGTAGGTAGTTCCCACCTCTCGGAGACGTTGGCGCACTTTTCCTCGTGTGCTTGGAGCAAGCGGGAAGGTCTGCCGCGTCAGGAGTAGTGTCGCCAAACAACAGCACCAGCGCCAGCATCGCCATCAGCACCAGTGCAAGGATATTGAGCAGCAGGAACAGCAAAGCATCAGCAACAGAAGCAAAGACAGGCCGAGTAAGAATAGCGGAAGCAACAGTACAGCAGCAGGATTAAGAACAAAAGCGGAAGCAAGAGAGCGTGGAACAACCCAACAGGGCTTCGGGAAGGCCTGGTCGACAAGCCAGACACGTATCGACGAGATAGCCAGACTTGATGGCACGGCCTAGGTTGTAGGTCTCAGCTCTTCTGTCGCGTACTAACCCACATCAGTTCAACGCATGCTGCGACAAGAACAAGTCACGTCGTGCAAGCACCGACGAAACCAAACGTGACGTCAGTAGCCAGCCCCATGTATCGTGCTTCATTGTTCTTGATCGTTTCAGCCGTTTCCCTTGCATAAATTGCCATACCCTCTCAACCTGTCCCCCTAGCCTTTGCAAAGCCCTCGTCTTCAACATGTGTCAATGCATTTCTTGCTGAGCCCCCTCATCCGACGGCCATCCCCTACTGATCCTTCCCTTTCCCCTTCAACTACTTGACACGTTCAGCAGGCAGTTCGTGGTGTTGAACACCATACCATTCGTGCCCCCCTTCTGAAGGTGACCTCTCTTTCCGGCAACGCTTCTCTGGCTGGTCATCCATTTCGTCGATGAAGCAAGCACGTGTTCTCGGCCCGCCAAGCCAAAAATATTTCACACGTCGCCCGGCCTCGCGCCCTGTATCCGGCGTTCACGCAATCACGCTACGCACCTGGCACGTCGAGGAGGGACTGCTAGTGTTCTGCCCCACTGATTCCTCGTCCGACGAACGCCTGTCGAAGGAACCTCCGCCCATGAGGGCCTTGAGAGCGGCCAGATTGCCCTCCCCCCGGACAGCCTCGCGCCGAGTAAGGGCTTCCGAAAGCTTCCCAAAGAAAACCGGTGATCGCAGCTGAAAAAACACGGCATGAAGCCAAAAATCGAACCCGTCCACCGCGGAAGCCAAGTAAGCACTTCTAACTTGAAAAAAAAGTTGATGAACAGTAGTTCAAATAGTGTTCAGGACGTGTCATTTGAGGTCTGCACGCCCAACCCGCTCTACCGGCCCCACCGCGACCACCTATCACCCCACCTTATTCACTTAGTGCTCTGTCGATCCTAAACTCCTCTCCTTTCCAGCAGCTGCCGTCGCCATCAATCGTTTCGGATGGCGACCAGCCTCGTCACTTCAATCTAGAACATCACGGGAGGGGACACTGCAGTATTCTTACCGCAGGGTCCCATGCCCCTTTAGGACTCCTTCTCTGGTGGAAGTATCCTAGAAACGCCGGGTGGATGTCCTCCGGGTGCGGTCGTTTTCCCACCTGCACAGGTGAACGTTGGTGGTGATCTTGTGGTTTCACTCCTGTAGCCAAATCATGAGGTCGGCGGTCATTGGTTGAAGCGACGTGCAATGCAAAACGACGTGGGATAAACCGCATGAGGGCGACTTTTGCTCCACGACTTCCTTACCAGGGTCTTTTCATTTTCCCGACGGTACTGTACTGTAAAAAATACAATGGAGCTTGAGACAGGAGAGAGGAGCAGCGGTCGAATCAAGAGGACGATATTTCATCATTATGTGTCGCTTTTGCTGCTACAGATGAATTTGCGTAAAAGTGGTTTAAATAGAGCTCCAGTTCGATGTTTGACTGTTGTCATGTTTGACGTTGGAACTCTACAATCCTCGAGGCAGTATAGGCTGAATATGATGAGTGAATATCGATTTTCAAAAGAACCACCTATTTTGATCAGGGTTCAATGTCTGACTCTGGCTAAACGATTGGACGTGGGCATAAGTAAGCTACCATGTAGGATACGGCGTAGTTCCTGCGGCTGAGCTCAGTTTCTTTCCCCATCTTCCTTCCTTTTTGCACCTCGGAGCCTGGGTTTAACATGAATCTGTTTTCTCAGAACCTGGTTGTTTTCTTGTGAGTTTCATATTATGTGAACAAGTCGCCACTGTATTGATCCAGCAAAAGATCGCATCGCCCCAAAACGTGTCTTTCAAACCAAAGTATGCAATCTCTAACCGCCATGTCCACCCACAGACGCTCGTCTTGACCCCTCCTCTCCTCATTTTACGGGTACGCTTCACTATCGTTGCCTAGACGTGACCTCAAGACTTAGTTCACGGTGTCATTACCCTCCGACCCGTCCTCCTTCGCGTTCAATTTCTACCATGACACCAACGCGTTTTCGCCGCCAGTCTCGCCTGGCTGGAGCGACAGTCTTCCAATCCCAGCTTGGCCAGCTCCACCGATCGCTTGGAGGAGCCCCACTGCCCAGCCCCACCCAGCTCCTCCTCGAACTTGTGAGTCTGCGAGATGTATGCCCCCGTATCGGAACGTTGCATCGATAGGTTGATCGTGTTCAGGGAGCACGAGACTAGAGAAGACGCTGCAATACACAGTTGCCGTGCACCTGCATGTGGTCCTTGTCTTCCCACAAGTTTACTCAATTCCGTCCGGGGAGATACCACGTGTCGGAACAATAGATAATTCCTCGTCACAAAGGCCCCGCGAACTGAAAACTATCGCAAATGATCGTGACACAGAATTGGGAGCAGAACGCAAGATGCGGGAAACGCATAGAGATGGGATGGAAAGAAGTACGGCACGAAAGACGACAGGGAAACCCGAGCACCAAACAATATCAGCGCTCGAGGAGCACCTCCTAACCTCTCTCTGTGTGACATGGTTACCTCGTACATCCTCTCCGCTAGCTTCGCCTTGATAGCCTTCTGTTGAGCCCTCTTTATCGCCTTGGTCCGATCTCTGTGGAACAAAAAGGCGTGTAGACAAGAAATGGAGTGGAGACCCCCAACTACAAAAAAAGTCCAGCCAAGGATCACCAACAGGCCCCCTGTGTGTTTTGTTGCGTACAAGCTCGTTGTTGGCACCCAACAAAACAAGAGTTGCCGAGCGCCAAATCCAGTTAGTTCAGGGACTTCGCGATGACGTGATGTTAGCTCTCTATTCGCGTATATTTAACACAGAGTGAATTCGTCCTGGCGAACAGCACCGATAGGTGTGAATCTCGCGCACTGCCACAATATTCATCACTGACCTCTACACTACCGTTGACCCTGGCAGAGCAAAAACCCGGCTCCTTGACGAAAACTACGGCCCCTCGTATGATGACGGATCTCAAGAATACGCGAGGGGCGAATTAGTGTACGGTCGAAAAATGTGATGATCCCTCTTCAATAGATCGAGAACGCAGATGCGTTGAATTTTATCTTCACTGCAACCAAACCTACATACACGGCGATGCATGTGGAGACGCGGAAAACCACCGCTTCCGTGCAGGTTACTCCTCATCGTCACTTGCCTCTGGGACAGGAGATGAGCCATTCTTTCCGTCAAGGCCTCCTCCGGGTAGTCGACCTGGCGTCGTGGTTGCCTCTGTCGGCGTCTTCGGGTTCGTTTTCCCGCTCCATCCATACTCTCCGTATCACACACGGGGCCCCGCTCTTCTACCCCGTCTGCCGGGGCAATGACAATACCGCCGCCACTGCCACCGTCGTCATCACTCGCCGGCGGTTTGGCTGCCACCGCTGCCCAAGGTTCTGCTCCCATTGTACTCCCTTGCGGCGCCTGTTTCGATTGTGTCCACTTGGCTATCCTCCGGGCTAGCTGCTGCCGCTTGCGCTCTGCACGAACATCACGACGTACGGCAGTGATATCGTGTGTGTCGGTATGCAAGTCTTCGTTCGGTAGTGGCGTTCGTGTTGTTGTTCATGGCGCTGCCTTTGTTGAAAACAGGTAATCACCTGGAAATGTTATTGTCTGCGCCGGTTCGATTTTGTTACTCACCAGAGCAATGGGAATTGCCAAACTCCCCGCGACCGTCTGTAGCGCATGAACCGCAAAAGGTGGGTACGGGGACCACGGGAAATGGAAGCCCTCTACGTAATGATACTCAACGGGTCTTGACCACTGCGGCTCTGTAGGAAACCACCTCTCGCTAGCGTTCAGATGACCGATAGTAGAATGATGGATAACCTACAGGAGTGCCACACGAAAATATACCCTTGTTTTCCCTCCGGGTTTTGAGCATCTTGCGCAAACGCCTCCTTCGCTGGTCGTCAACGGCTTGCCGTTCGAGGATAGATTCGTATTCCTCACTGTTCAAGAA